CCCCAAAACCCCAAAACCCCTTAACTTTAAGATTAAGGTATGATTGATGAAATAAAATTAAAAATAATAATTATTACATAGATTATTCAACTCAGAGATAATTTGATTTATTACAATAGTAGAGAGCTTACTTCCTTTACTTTATTTCATAGAAATCACTGCCTCATCAAATTCTTGAGCTAGTCCATACTTTAGCGAATCAAATTTTAGCTGACACTTCTAGCCATAGCCTTTGAATGAAGAACTCCTCTCATCTCATTTATTTAAGTATTACTTTCGTTTATTCTTTGTGTCAAGTAGTTTATTCTTTCATTCTCTTGATTAAGTTGCTAGTTTAATTAATAGCATTCTGATAACACTTTATTTGATTTAAGGTCAATAGTTTTGATAGTATCGTTCTTCATAATTGTAAAACTTTCAATCTACTCCTCTACATTTTATTAATGTTTTCTGAGCAATTTTTTCTATTCATTGACTAAACTTCTTATGCTTTCTACTTCCTTAATATTTTATCTCGCTTTATTTTTTTATAGCTATATCTCATTCTCTTATCTTTTAGACTCTTGAAATTCAAGTACAATCAATTCTCTTTACTACGATATGATCTATTTTAACTCTGTTTATCTATATTAAAGTTTTTGCTTTTTATCCAATAGATTTTGCTTGGATTTCTCAAATTCCTTTACTAATTACTTGATGTTAGTTGTACTATCAATGCTAAATGATAGTTAATCAGCTGGAGCCATTTTACCTAGATCTTTACTGCTGCTATTTTTAAGTTGCAATTTCTTTGATGTATTCAAATTTTAACTTGGTGTGATATTCTGGTTCTGAGATGCCTGTAGTGGACTAAAATCAGAATTACTTTGCAATTTAATATCATTTGAGGATATATTAAAGCCTTTTTGCCTTTATGAACTCTTCTTTGAGTGAGCTCCTTCATTTGAAGACCTAGGATTTAAGTTCTGGTTATCATAATAGTCATATTCGTCATTATATATCAAAGAATCTTGATGCTGCTCAATTTTCATGATAAATTCTGTCAAAGAAGAAAATTAAATTTAAATAATTAATTATTATTACTCAATATAATTTAGCTATTACTATAATGAAATTATGATTGCCGGGGTTTTGGGGTTTTGGGGTTTTGGGG